GTATGTAACATGCATATATTAGATAATTGGTATTATTTAAATTTACATAACATGAAACTAAATTAGTAAAGGTAAGTATATATAAAAGTACATATTGTGATTTACATATCTTCATACAATCTACAAATGAACAAAATTCTCGTACTCTTTATGATAAAGATCTTAAACTGTTATGTATCTTGTATTGAATCTTATTGTTGAAGAAACAAGTAAATAACAAATTGTATAATACATAATTAAATCTGATACAAGTTTAGAATTTTTTCAATTGTGGACAATTTCAAACTTCGAAATTAAATAAATTATTGTTATACAGTAGGAAATGAAAATTTTCGTATTACTATTTTTGAAGACATTCTATAGAATAATTATTGAATCAAAAATATTAGCAGATTAAGCATGTAAATTTTTCATTAACACTAGAACTACCGTGGTACCGGTCAAAATAACGGGTTTCAGTTTTCTTATTTTGCAATTAATGATATTTTAAACGTGTTCAATATCCATAATGATTTTGAAAATCATCTTTATAAGGATTACACATCAACCCTAAGGAATGCTCGGTAGTTCTAGTGTTAAACAGTTTAGTACTTTCTTAGAACAGGGGTGTCGAAACTGCCTCCCCTCAAACTAGTTACATAATTCCGCAACTCCGTTAGCGATTCCCCTACTACTTCTATCCTAGGAATTGCCCAAGATTGTGTGCTTGCGCAGTTCTATGTAGCGTTCAATACAAACAAGTGAAGGTAGATATGGAGAGGGTAACTTTCTGCAAGGGGAAGGACACTAGAGAACTAGCGAGCACCCAGTTCGACACCCCTGACCTATGTACAGTTATACTCATGGTGAAATCAAAGGATTACTGTTATACTAAGAACTTGCTTTCCTTTAATAACGTTGAAATGTTGAAATATTACATAAAAACGATAAAAATGACTCTAACAGCTGTAAAAATGAAACATATTGACATGGACCATAAGTTCCTATAATTGTATAAACATTAAAAACTATATACACAATAATTGATTGAAAGAATACATTTATAACGATATTTATACATAGAAACAAGAATGCCATCAAAATATCACCATAAATATCGTTACAAATGTAGTTTTTGATATTTATATAACTATAGGAACTTATGGTCTACGTCAATAAGTTTTTACAGCTATTAAAGTCATTTTGATCGCTTCCCTCCAAAAAATATTTTACATATATCAGAAAGAAATGGTAAGTTCACGAATTTGAATAAAGTAGAATTGTAGTATTCATTTATATACAAAGTTTTCCCCTTTACGATTAACTTGGCCATGAATTTTCGTCTTCATCAATTCTAATGGAAAAATGCGTTCAATAGTCCTCACGTTGTTATTACTTTCTCCTTATCCATCGTTAATGGATTAAAACAGAAATCTGCTCAGAATCGTTTAATCCGGACATCCAGGCAACATGTGTACCGTCTAAACATCGATAGCGCCGAAAGCCGCAATAAATTTCGTCCACGAGGGCGAATTTGCCGTGAATGTCGAGCGGTTTACGTGCCGGTAGGGCGAAATGAGGGATGAAGCGTGCGTGTTTACAGAAACTGTTAGAATTCTATACATTTGAAGTAGCTGCCCCACGACGTTTCCCTTATTTGCGCCAAATTGGCCCGTCCTCGCCGTCACGGACGCGTCAAGGTACTTAACTGCAGGTAAACATACCCTAAATCATGAGCCAGGATAAAGGAAAGAGAAGCAGGCCTACCTTACTCCTCGTAAAGTTGCCTGTATCGCGAGCATCCATTGTTGCATCCTTGTATAAACGTTCGCTTCTGTGCAGGGCACAGCTTTTGTACCGTTTGCTCTGTGCTCTTGTTACGGCACAGGTATACAGTTTCCCGCTACCCGGACGTTTTTCATAATCGCAATTGCTTCATCTTATTTACAGACGTTCCTTTCGATTACAATTTAATTGGCCTAGCCAAGTTGTAAAAGTTGAGGCTTTACAGCTCGGACTCTGTACCTAACTATTTCTTTTTTCGATCCTCGGAATCCGGAAGATCTAATTTACACGGAAACTGTAGGTTATAGTCTATTAGTAGGTATTAGGTAGCTAAAGTTTGTGAAACGAACTGGAAGGAAAATTTGGAAACTCGAAATTATCTAGGGTGGATTCATCGAAGCTTCCGTTCGCGTGAAATTAAAATTTAAATGAAAATGAGATTTCCAATAACTGGAAGCTAGCAATCTAGTAATTTTCACTTTAATGGTACTTTATAGGTATAGCATATTGGTCTATGAAAGAATTTATTATCAATTTTACTATCGATCTTCCATTAACCATTATGCCACAGCAAAGTATGTTTTACAAATAAATTTATTCTTCTGGTCTCTTACGATTGAACTAATTAATGAGATTCGGAGGAAAGGCTTATGGCGAAATCGCCTAAAATCAGATGAATTTTTTATTTCCTTTATGGAAGAAGCTTATTGCTCTGTTTCTGTTATTATATGTCAGTTACAATGATTTAAAAAAACTAATAGTAATTTATTGTCGAAGAAGTTACTATTATTTTCTTCTTTAAATTGACGCGTATACTCGGTGAACCCAGTTAATTGGTTAAGAAGCGCAAATCATCAATGAATCTCTATTTTCCCTCATCTTTTATTGTTCGAGACGCTGCGTCGAAGCAATTCGTGC